ATCCTGTTTTCTGGTCCTGCATCTCTGTTTTGGTATGAATGTTTGTGTGCCTTCCTCGTATAGTTTTAAAAATTTGGCCATACATTTCATTTACTTCCCTGCCTAGCAACAAATTCTGTCCAATTACACTCATTAAAAAAATTTCGAAGTTCCCTATAGTTGCCTCTCTTTAAATCGAGTTTATCAACTGTTTCAATGTCCACATTTTCTTCTAGATGATATCTTAAGCATATTTAATGTCTAACATGACGTACGTGTGTGTGTGTGTGTGTGTGTGTGTGTGTGTGTGTGTGTGTGTGTGGGTGTGTGTGTGTGTGTGTGTGTGTGTGTGTGTGTGTGTGTATATATATATATATATATATATATATATATATATATATATATATATATATTATATATGTCGTACCTAATAGCCAGAACGCACTTCTCAGCCTACTATTCAAGGCCCGATTTGCCTAATAAGCCAAGTTTTCATGAATTAATGTTTTTTCGTCTACCTAACCTACTAACCTAACCTAACCTAGCTTTTTTTGGCTACCTAACCTAACCTTACCTATAAATATAGGTTAGGTTAGGTTAGGTAGGGTTGGTTAGGTTCGGTCATATATCTACGTTAATTTTAACTCCAATAAAAAAAATTGACCTCATACATAGAGAAAAGGGTTGCTTTATCATTTCATAAGAAAAAAAATTATAGTAAATATATTAATTCAGGAAAACTTGGCTTATTAGGCAAATGGGCCTTGAATAGTAGGCTGAGAAGTGAGTTCTGGCTACTAGGTACGACATATATATATATATATATATATATATATATATATATATATATATATGAAAATGAAAACTCACACCCCACACCCCGAGTTGCCGTCGGGGAAGTGGCTCAAATAGCCTCGGCTATCACTTCCTTTTGACGGCCGTGATGGTCAAGCGGATTAAGGCGCCCTGTAGTTACCAGTTGCGTTGCTTCTGGGAGTATGGGTTCGAGTCACTTCTGGGGTGTGAGTTTTCATTCGCATATAGTCCTGGGGACCATTCAGGCTTCTTCGCATATATATATATATATATATATATATATATATATATATATATATATATATATATATATATATATATATATATATATATATATATATATATACATATATATATATGTCGTACCTAGTAGCCAGAACGCACTTCCCAGCCTACTATGCAAGGCCCAATTTGCCTAATAAGCCAAGTTTTCATGAATTAATGTTTTTTCGACTACCTAACCTACCTAACCTAACCTAACCTAACTTTTTCTGCTACCTAACTTAACCTAATCTATAAAGATAGGTTAGGTTAGGTTAGGTAGGGTTGGTTAGGTTCGGTCATATATCTAAGTTAATTTTAACTCCAATAAAAAAAATTGACCTCATACATAATGAAATGGGTAGCTTTATCATTTCATAAGAAATAAAATAGAGAAAATATATTAATTCAGGAAAACTTGGCTTATTAGGCAAATCTGGCTTTGCATAGTAGGCCGAGAAGTATGTTCTGGCTACTAGGTACGACATATATATATATATATATATATATATATATATATATATATATATATATATATATATATATATATATATATATATATATATATATAAATAAATAAATAAATATATATATATATATATATATATATATAAATAAATAAATATATATATATATAATATATATATATATATATATATATATATATATATAAATAAATAAATATATATATATATATATACAGAGCACCACTTGGTTTCCGAACCCCTTGGGGACGAGACCCGTCGGTTAACATGTAAGTTCGTATACGAGAAATAGAGGGGAAAAAATAAACTAGAAATGTAAAAAGAAATTTTTCCGAAAAAATTTATGAAAAAAAACTCTAGGGAAAAAAATCGTCAGGTTCATGGCGTAAATGCGACCGTGTTTTGTTTGTACTCATCAATAAGTGAAGTCCTGATCCGCTTTATAAAAGTCCTTAATTGTTCCTAACTGATTATTAAGACGTCTGGCAAACATCCTCTGGATGTTTCCTGCCAGCCTGCAGGCACATCCTGCCTAAAATATACGATGATGTACTGTACATTTAAGAAACAAATCTGGGTCACAGGTCTGTGGAGTGTGGTTAGGCTTACGGAGTCACCCGGTCCCTCCCCCACCACCAACACACCTCCCCCTCTCCCCCCACCACCGACACACCTCCCCCTCTCCCTCCACCACCGACACACCTCCCCCTCTCCCCCCACCACCGACACACCTCCCCCTCTCCCCCCACCACCGACACACCACCCCCACCCCCCACCCCAAACCCATACACGCACACACACACTCTCAAAGGTCACGTGGTTCACAGTTCACTTCAACACCCATGTATCGCTTCCTGCCTGCCTGCCTCCTTCCCAGCCTGCCAGCCTGCCTCCTTCCCAGCCTGCCTGTCTGCCTCCTTCCCAGCCTGCCTCCTTCCCAGCCTGCCAGCCTGCCTCCTTCCCAGCCTGCCAGCCTGCCTCCTTCCCAGCCTGCCTGCCTGCCTCCTTCCCAGCCTGCCAGCCTGCTTCCTTCCCAGCCTGCCTCCTTCCCAGCCTGCCTCCTTCCCAGCCTGCCAGCCTGCTTCCTTCCCAGCCTGCCTTGCCTCCTTCCCAGCCTGCCTCCTTCCCAGCCTGCCTCCTTCCCAGCCTGCTTCCTTCCCAGTCTGCCTCCTTCCCAGCCTGCCAGCCTGCCTGCCAGCCTGCTTCCTTCCCAGCCTGCCTCCTTCCCAACCTGCCTGCCTGCCTCCTTCCCAGCCTGCCACCTTCCCAGCCAGCCAGCCTGCCTCCTTCCCAGCCTGCCAGCCTGCCTCCTTCCCAGCCTGCCAGCCTGCCTCCTTCCCAGCCTGCCAGCCTGCCTCCTTCCCAGCCTGCCAGCCTGCCTCCTTCCCAGCCTGCCAGCCAGCCTGCCTGCCAGCCTGCCTGCCTGCCAGCCTGCTTCCTTTCCAGCCAGCCTGCCTCCCCCCCTGCCATCATGCTAACGGGTAGTGTGTGTTAGGCTTATCTTCGGGAATGAGCCGGTCTCACCCCCACCACCAACAAACCACCCGCCCCCCTACATCCCATCTCTCAAGGTCACGCGGTTCAACCGCGTGACTACCACTCACTCCCTGCCTGCAAGCTAGCCTGCCTGCCTGCAAGCTAGCCTGCCTGCCTGCCTGCCTGTCTGCCTGCCTGTGCCTGCCTGCCTGTGCCTGCCAGCCTGCCTTTCCCTCCCTAATTCTCACTACTTCCGTCCCTTCCTGCCTACCTCCCCCTCCCTCTTAGCATCTCTCCCTACCTCCCCCTCCCTCTTAGCATCTCTCCCTACCTCCTAACATCTCTCCCTACCTCCCCCTCCCTCCTAGCATCTCTCTCCCCCCCTCTCTCACTGATTCTCCCCCCCCCTCATTCATACTGCCTCCCACCTAAGCTCCATCGTCCATCCACCCACCAGTCAGCCATCACTGACGCAATGCGTGCGTTTGGAGCCAACATGGTGCACAGATGTTTCTTGATTGTGCAGATATGTAAAACAAAAGCACAGAATGAACATTCCAGCCTTATGGCAATTCAAAATAATAGGAATAATAGGCCGTGAATCTGTGAAGTCACAGTGGGCAAACTGGACCATCGCCCACCCACCACCACAAGCCGGCGTGACGCTTGGTGGACCCCTTCCTACCCGAACTTTGTTCGGGTAGCATGACTCCCCAACCCCAATCGGGAAACTGGAAGTTTCGGATAACTAAAGTTCGGAAACCAAGTGGTGCTCTGTATATATATATATATATATATATATATATATATATATATATATATATATATATATATATACATATATATTTATTTATATATATATATATATATATATATATATATATATATATATATATATATATATATATATATATATATATATATATATATATATATATATATATATATAATATAAATAAATAAATTACAGTGGTACCTCGGAATGCGAGTGTCCCTGTATGCGAGTTTTTCGGAAGACGAGCAGGATTTACTCCAAAAATATGTCTCGGAAGGCGAGGGTTACCTCGGGACGCGAGTTTGTTGATACGTGTACAGGCCGACTGGCGCGTGGTGGCATGGCGATCGCGCCTCAGTTTACCAGTGTCTCGTGTCCAGTGACTATACCACCTGAATTCTTCACAAGGATTTACAGTTTTTTATCGGTTTTTTGGCCATTTGAGCATAAAAGTTGTCATTATATATCTTGCCATGGGTCTCAAGAAAGCCATTGGTAAGGTTCAACCTAAGAAAATAGCTGTGAGTAGAGGCAGTAGAGGATGTCCCTTCTTGATTAAGAAAATGTGTGAAGTATGGGAAGAACTGCAAAGTTTTGTTGAAAAAACTCACCCAGATAAAGCTGTAGCAGGCCGTTGCATTGACCTGTTAAATGATAATGTGATGTCTTACTACAGACAAGTGTTAAAATGTAGGGAAAAACAAGTGTCATTAGACAAATTCTTAGTAAAACAAGCAAGTCCTAGTGGAATGCAGGCAAAATGTGCCAGAGTGTGCATACCAGTGAAGTCCTCACTGCCTGATGTGATAATAGAAGGGGACTCCCCTTCCAAACAGTAACTCCTCTCTTCCTCCCACCTCCTCACCATCTTCCATACGCCTACAGCATTCAACAGCAAGGTAAGTAATAACTTGAACATAGTTTTGTAGGTTTATTTAGATGAATTAGGTATAAAAATTTAGTTTGATGTGGGGTTTTTGGGGTAGTCAGGAACGGATTAATTCATTTCCCTTTATTTCTTATGGGGAAATTAGCTTCGGAATGTGAGTTTTCGGAATACGAGGCGTCTCCAGGAACCAATTAAACTCTTAAACTGAGGTATGCCTGTAGTCCGATAGCTCCAGGGAGCCGAAGGGGCTCCCCTTAGATAAAAAAAAAAAAAACATTAGATGCAACTAAAAGTGAGGAAAGATATGACAAGCACTCACCTGATTGTTTCTCTAACACCACATGAGACCATATTGGAAGTATAACCAAGGAAAATATTACAGTTCTTGCGGATTTTGATGTATTCATCTTCTTCCAATTCATCATTGAAGTTTTCTGGCATTGGCATGTCTCTGCAGGCTATCTGGCATGAAAATAAATGATTCATGACATTTATGATAATCATAATAGGAGTCAGGCATATATTATAGTGTAACCTCAATTCAATGAAATATATTGGACCAACTCTAATTCGGTGCAACCAGAAATGCCTTCAGGAAGCATTTGTAAGGTGAATCTTATTTTTTCCTCAGAAAAATTATTTTTGGAGAAATTTACTGAAGAGCTCTGACAGGTGAAATCCTATAAGAGCCAAACAGAGAAAAAGATCTGGGGGTTGATATCACACCGAACCTGTCTCCAGAAGCCCACATCAAAAGGATATCATCAGCGGCATATGCTAGATTGGCACACATAAGAACTGCCTTTAGAAACTTGTGTAAGGAATTGTTCAAGACCTTGTATACCACTTATGTCAGACCATTCCTGGAGTATGCAGCTCCAGCCTGGAGTCCATAACTAGTTTTACACAAGACAAAGTTAGAGAAGATTCAGAGGTATGCCAGCAGACTAGTCCCAGAACTGAGAGGTATGAGCTACAAGGAAAGTCTATGGGAGCTAAACCTCACATCACTGGGAGAAGTGAGGTTTAGAGTAAGGGTAAGACATGATAACCACCTACAAAATTCTCAAGAAAATTGACAAGGTGGACAAAGACAAATTATTTAGCATGGGTGTAACATGAAAAAGGGGACCAAAGGGACACTGTAAACTGAGAAGAAGAAACATAAATGAGAACATGGTCTAAGGACCAAGCAGACTCAAGCAGTGCATGAACAGGCTAAAGGTGAAACACTGAACAAGACATTAACGGAACAAAAGGTACTGATTCCAAACCGATGCAAAGAGATCCAATGTGAGGTGCCCGAAAGGTTTGCAAAGCCAATGAAAGGAGATGGCATCAACAGTCCACTCCATGGAGACAGGAAGGAACAGGGACAGAATAGCTGAGTATGTTGGCCATACCTTGAATGTGAACTGTGCAGAGAACCAAACCCAAAGAAGCTAGCAGATGAGCTATACGCAGCATCCAGCTTCAAAGAGCAACACACCAAAGCAAGCTACCCCTGATTGAGACAATGAATCACCAGGGCACAGTCTAAGCAGAATCGGAGCCCGGAGGAATCCGAATCCTCAACAGGGATGCAAACTCCCACACCATTCTGTGTGTCCGATGAAAAGAGCGACCAACGACCCTGAGAGGCTTGTTGAGCATTGGTCACGAAGCCCCAACCCAGAGGCAAAGCTTCAGTAAAGATGTAGACAAAAGAAGAAGGAGGCACCATGGAATGGAACCCCCTGAAAAGCCCAAAAGCTGGCAACACAGCAGCCGGCAAAGGGCAATCAGGGTCCAAATCCAATTCTCATGGCAACAGTGAAAGAGGCAGAACCGAAGAAACCAGAACATCCCCAAAATCACACCCTGCCCAATGGAAAAACCATGCAGGCAAAGTTTAGGCTCCCATTCATCTGCTCAAGCAACCGTTAAGTCACCTTGGACACCTTTATTGTGTTAAAGAACACAATAAAGTAGCCGTCACAACTGCAAGAAAAATGACAGGTTGGATAACAAGAACTTTTCACACTAGAGATGCTATACCGATGATGACACTTTTCAAAACGCTTGTGCTCTCTAGAGTGGAGTACTGCTGCACAATGACAGCCCCTTTCAAAGCTGGAGAAATTGCTGACCTGGAGAGCGTGCAGAGATCCTTTACTGCTAGAATCCACTCAGTAAAACACCTAAACTATTGGGACCGACTAAAGAGTCTAAATCTGTACTCCCTTGAGCGCAGGTGGGAGAGATACATAATAATTTATACGTGGAAAATATTAGAGGGGCTGGTCCCAAACCTGCACACAGAAATAACATCACATGAGACCAGAAGACATGGCAGGATGTGCAGAATACCCCCGTTGAAGAGCGGAGGTGCAACAGGTACTCTGAGAGAGAACTCTATCAACATCAGAGGCCCGAGACTGTTCAACACGCTTCCGCTACACATAAGGGGCATAACTGGCAATCCCCTCACAGTGTTCAAGAGAGAACTGGATAAGCACCTCCAAAGGATACCTGATCAACCAGGCTGTGACTCATACGTCAGGCTGCGAGCAGCCACGTCCAACAGCCTGGTTGATCAGTCCAGCAACCAGGCGGCCTGGTCGACGACCGGGCCGTGGGGACGCTAAGCCCCGGAAGCACCTCAAGGTAACCTCAACACTAGCAGGAAGTGGCACAGCAGCCAAAGCAAAGCTGCAGGAAGCAGGGGAAAGCGACACCAATTGAGGGTCCCATACGAGGCCCAGCCAAGTTCAAACCTGGGACGAAACTTATTAGTACTTCTGCCAGTTCACCAGGAACTCGAATCCAGCAAGCTGAGAGAGAACTATATCTCTGGATAGCAGATATGTTGACTGACTGTGGGCCCACACAAGCCAGAACACAAATGCCCAACAAGAAAACACAAGTCGCCATGACCCCTAGCCAACCTGGGAAAAATATGAGGTGCCAGACTCAAGCCAAAGGGAAGACCCCAAAAGAGGTTGGCCTCATGTCCTGCAGCAAAACCTATCCAATCCCAGAACCCCAGTTGAATAGGGATGTGCCAGTATGCATCCCAAAGTTCCAGGGAAATCATCCAGGCACCCACCTACAAGATGAGGCAAACCTGGGGCCAAAATGACCATAAGAAATGTAAGTCAGGGCCTCTTCAGCCCAGAAAGATTGAGGATAACCCTCAAACTTCAATGAATCCCATTTCGGAATCAAAAAGAGACAAGACAAGACAATGAAGAGATGCAGTTGTCTCAACCATGCAGAAGCAACCGTTTCCAAAATGACAAGATGCATGTGAGGGAAAGAAGCCTGCCCGTAAGCCCAGACCCTGTGAAGTGGGGTGGGAGGTTCTTGAGGTAACCTTGAGGTTACCTTGAGGTTACCTTGAGGTTACCTTGAGGAGACCTTGAGATGATTTCGGGGCTTAGTGTCCCCGCAGCTCAGTCGTCAACCAGGCCATCTCGTTGCAAAACTGGTCAACCAGGCTATTGGTTATGGCTGCTCGCAGTCTGACATATGAGTCACAGCCTGGTTGATCAGGTATCCTTTGGAGGTGTTTATCAAGTACTCTCTTGAACACTGAGAGGGGTCAGCCAGTTATGCCCTTATTTGAAGTGGAAGCGTGTTGAACAGTCTCAGGCCTCTGATGTTCATAGAGTTCTCTCTCTCTCTCAGAGTAACTATTGCACCTCTACTCTTCAATGGGGGTATTCTGCACATTCTGCCATGCCTTCTGGTCTCATGTGATGTTATTTTTGTGTGCAGGTTTGAGACCAGCCTCTCTCTACCAAGACCAGGGACCGAGCAACTCTACCACAGGCCACATGAAACAAAACAAAAAGACCCATGAATCATGGGACCAAGAGCCAGTAACCCAGGCAAGCTACCACCCCCATCCCCCAATGCCCCGTCAAAGGTGCGAACCGCAAAAAGGCCAGTGCAAATAATGACAAGCGGAAGCCCTCTGTGAAGTGCAAAAATAGCACTGACCAGCAGATGAACTAGTTCCTGAAAGCGCATGTGACCCACAATCTTGCTCCACTGAGGGCCTACCTTGACTAACAGCAGTGCTTTTCATCTAAGTGCCAGCCATTTTTGTACTGTGTCCTGTCTGGCCTCTTGTTATGTATTGTTGTGCATGGACTTGACTATTGTGTGCTTGGAGCTGCATGTGCTAAGGCCTATCCTCCATGTGTGATCCCTAGCTCTGCCGTACACAGAGAGAATTCTCTTCTCTGGTGTGTTCAAGCAGATCATGAACTTGTTCTACCACCCCAAAAGATAAAAAATGAAACAGAGCTATGCTGAGTCCCACTTTGGAACCAGAAAGAGACGACACAAGAGATGTGGAGGGAAGAGATGTGGAGCGAAGAGATGTGGAGATGCAGGCGTTACGACCATGCTGGAAGCCACTCGCTCCACAATGATCCAATGAAAGTGAGGGAAAGAAGCCTGCCCAAAAAGCCAAGACCCCCTCAGTAGGAGGGGAAAAGACTGACTAATGCCATCCCAGGTCACACGAAACACACCTGAAAGTCCACATATCATGGGACCAGGAGCTGACAAGCTGGAAAAGATCACCCTACCTCACCACCCTTTCAAAGGGGCAACCACAAAAGGGCCAGTATGATCCACTATCATTGTTAGCCTTCCACGAAGTGCGAGAGCGATGCCAAAGAGAAGACAAACGGACAGCGGGAAGCACATATGACGCTGAATCTGGCTCCAACAAGGGCTTACCCCTAACCAGCAGCAAGAAAAAAGTTCCAGCACCACTAGACCCCCCTCTGAGAGCAAGGACAAGAGCCTCCTGGAACACAAAAGGTCAGAACTAGGCCGGCAAATAAGTGGCCGCCTCAGACATAACTGAGAAACACATTATCTGGAAAGATGTTGCGAAGAATCAAGGTAAATCTAATGACCGGGTAATATGCTTGCTGACATGCGAGACGGACAGTAGAACGTGGCCACTGCCTCCTCCACACCTGACCCAGAGTGGAGCACATCAACATCTTCATGGAGCCAGTCAGGACGAAGCTCCACAAAGGCCAAAAAACCAGCGTTGAATGTAATGAAACGCCATTTTCTGGGTGAGTCCCGGAGGCTCCCCGGAGCTATGCCAGGCTGATATGCTAATGTCAGACTTTGGCATCAGTCATGTGTATGGAGTTCTTAGGCCTACCGGGGACCACGGCCAGAACTGGGCCCCCTCAGAGAGGCAAAGGGAGCAATGGCCTATAGAAGCCCCCGTGTGGTTGGAAGCATTCTATGTCTGCCATCATCCGGAACAGGCACCCAGAAAGGTAAGCGCCGCAAAACAAACCCCTATTCTGGTTAAAATTGCTACCAAAAACCGAGCGAGTGGATAGAACTCCCCAACCGAAAACAAGCAAACTAGTGTGACGTCACACACCGCCGCGCCGCAGTCTGCGCAGCTCCCCCCTCCCCGGGAGGGGGAAGGGGGAGCC